AAACTTTGCAGACTGCTACTGGATGTATTAAGGACAGATGGTCTACTAACCAGAAAACTACTGTGTCAGGATATTTCAAATACAAAAAGTAGTAACAGCACCAAATGGGATGCTTTCACGTTGACATCATGTGTCTTAAACAGCCTAAGGTGGCAAGAGCTGATTTAGACCAAAAGGGATAGGAATTCATTTCTGACGGCAGCAATAAAACTGTCACATAAATGTTCTCCAAGGCCCAGTAATTCTCCATAGAGAATGGCAAGGGCTTCAGAAATGCCTCTGACCACACTGCCGAGATTTTGCCTGGTGATGCAGAGATGGTAGAGATCATGAACAAAGCTCGCCAGTTCTTCCTTTTACACATCATGATCATTTTGTCAAACAGATTTACAGAGAAGAGATGTCTATGACATCCAAAGGTTTCACATATGTGGTTCTAATGCACAAATCAAAATTCTGGATTTTAGAGAACAGATTAATGAGCTAGGCAGATATGGGTGGCTCATTTACTGGGTTCACAGGTACCTAACAAGCCTTCGAGAGCTCACCATCATTCATTCATTTTTTTTTTCTTAAGATGGAGTCTCACTCTGTCATCCAGGCTGGAGTGCAGTGGCGCCATCTTCACTCATTGCAACCTCTGTCTCCTGGGTTCAAGTGATTCTCCTGCCTCAGCCTTCTGCATAGCTGGGATTAAAGCGCCTGCCACCATGCCCAGCTAATTTTTGTATTTTTAGTAGAGATGGGGTTTCACCATGTTGGCAGGGCTAGTCTCGAACTGCTGTCGTCAGGTGATCTGCCCACCTTGGCCTCCCAATGTGCTGGGATTACAGGCATGAGCCACTGTGCCCTGCCTCACCATCATTCTTAATGATGCTCATGTAGCTCCTGCTGTTGCATTTTTCTGCTGGCAGCGCCCAGAGTCTACCTTCACTTGCCCATTCCTTTATTTCTTTACAGGCTTACTGAAAGTCACACATTGGCTTCCTCCTTGCCTTTCTAACACAGGTCAGGCCCTCACTGCTGCACTAGATTTCCACATTCCCTCAACATCCTATCTCTTTTCTACCAATAGTGTTATCTTTGTGAACCAGGCTTTGGTGCTATCATGTCTCTGCTCAGAAACCTGCTATAATATAGAAAGATGACATAGAGAACCATGAAAAGAAGGGGAAGACTGAGCTCTGGCACCCAGACATACCCAGTGGATAACAAGTCAGGTAAGACACAGAAACTGCCCAGGTATGGCCATTTGATATATAAACGCATCCTTACCTCTTGGTAAGAAATCAAAGCTAATGTGTCAATAAGGTCATGTTCTTTTGTTAACTCAGTCTGTGTGTCAGTTATCCTCCAATTGATGACAAGCCCAATTGTCACCCTCCTGGGTAGGCAGAATACATCACAGCCAACAATGTACAAAGGGTTAGGTTTTCTTTTTTTTTTTTTTAATTTCTTCATATGAGCTGTGGCTTTGTTGTACAAAGGGTTAGGTTTTAAAAAGCACTTGAGTCCAGCCTGGACAACATAAGGAGACACCGTCTCTAGAAAATATTTAAAAATTAGCCAGCCATGATGGAGCGCATCTGTGATCCTAGCTACTCAGGAGGCTGAGGTGGAAGGACTGCTTGAGCCTGAGACGCAGAGGTTGCAGTGTGCTGAAACTGTACGACCGCACTCCAGCCTAGTTGACAGAGCGAAGCTCTGCTGCAAAAATTAAAACAAAAAGCACCTGTGTTTTGGGGGACAGAGTGGAGGACTTTAATCCTTGGAGTCCAAGGGTAACCAACCTGGCTAACTGTCCTGACCGCTGTTCCCATGGGAATGACAGCTATTACATCTCCATTGAAATACGGTTAATTTGAGACCCAGAGAGGCATCACTCCTAATGGGCATAGAGAAAGCGCTTAAGGTTTGAAGTCAGACAGGGCTAAATTCAAACAGAGGCTCTGCCATCTATTAGTTTTGGATCTTGGAATTCTCTTAAGCCTCATTTTCTAGATGAAGCTTCAAAAACCAATACCAACAGAATGGTGAGGATTAAAAAAGATAAACTATATGAAAAGCAACCAGCAGAGTGCAGGCACTCCGGATTTCTATCTTGCCTGGCCTGATGATGCTACCAGCAAGAGTTGACCTGCAATCAGGATTTCAAGAGCCTTAGCCCTGGCTTTGAAGCAGAGTGAGCTGGGGAACCCGAAAAAAAGATACTGATGCTAAGAGGCTACCACAAATCAGTAGAAACAGAATCTCTGGAGGTGGAGCCTACCTATCTGTACAGAAACTGAACTAGTAAGGCAATTCAGGAATCAGAAATACTTATCCCTAGAAAGCTAAATTGGCGAACCTAGGCAAGTAATGGCAGCTTGTGCCTGTAATCCCAGCACTTTGGGAGGCTGGGGCAGGCAGATTACTTGAGGTCAGGGGTTTGAGACCAGCCTAGCCAACAGGGCAAAACCCTGTCTGTACTAAAAAAAGAAGAAAAAAAAAAGTAGCCGGGGGTCATGGTGCATGCCTGTAATCCCAGCTTCTCAGGAGGCTGAGGCAGGAGAATCACTTGAACCCAGGAAGCAGAGGTTGTGGTGAACCGAGATTGTGCCACTGCACTCCAGCCTGGGTGACAGAGTAAGACTCTGTCTCCAAAAAAAAAAAAAAAAGTTAAATTAGTGAACACAACTCACGGTAGATAAAATTAGCATCTATAGGCCGGGCATGGTGGCTCACACCTGTAATCCCAGCACTTTGGGCAGCTGAGGCAGGTGGATCACTTCAGGTCAGGAATTCGAGACCAGCCTGGCCAACATGGTGAGACACTGTCTCTACTAAAAATACAAAAAATCAGCTCGGTGTGGTGGTGGGTACCTGTAATCCCAGCTACTTGGGGGGCTGAGGGAGGAGAATCCCTTGAACCCCAGGGCGGAGGTTGCAGTGAGCCGAGATAGCACCAGCGCACTCCAGTCTGAGCGACAGGGCAAGATTCTGTCTCAAAAAAAATGAGCATCTACAGAAGCCACTCTTCCTGATTTGTCTGCCAGTGTGCTGAGGAGGAAGTAGGAAATATCCAAGGTCAACTGCAGGTGTTTATTCCTGAGTAGAAGTTAGCCTAATAGATGTCAGGGCTTAGCAGGATAGAGTGTGGGTTAGCGAACGGGGGTTGACCTATGGCAGAGACAGGACAGGAAAGTGAACAGCAGAGATGAGGGGTTTTCTCTAAGCAAAAAAACTGTTCTGCAGACTAGAGCAATACCCTTAGTTCACGTGTTCACATCTGCTATCTGGAGGTGTGAGTGCCGTGAGCTGATAACACTAGAGAATACGATCATCCCTTCACTCAGAATTCAGCCCTCTATCTAGCCTTCTGGTGGTAATCTTAGCTCCCATCATGGACTGTATTCCAGGGCAAATACTCAGCTGTCCACAGAAAGAATTCTCCCTAGGAAATAATGAATTGGGGTCTGATTCATACTTCCTTGTGAGTTTGATGGCGAGTCAGTCTACCAAGGCTGCTCAACTCTAGCTGTTTTGACGAATCAAGTTTGTAGTTGGGTCAAGCTCAGTACCTATGCTTCCATGGAGCCCTGTGGTTGAGAAAGCAAGGTGTCTCCTTCTTTGATGTCTTGTAAAATGCAATTTGTTACACTCATTTCTAGTCTCGAAATGGTTAGGTGCCAGTCCATCCTGTCATTGTATCCACTGCGTTGGAAAACATGAGTAAGACTGAGAGGAAACTAGAAATGCCTCCTCTGTGGGCTGCATTATGCCATCTGAAGTGTCCTTTACATAAAGTCACTCCAGGGACATTGGGAGGTGAAAGTCTAAAAGAATACCACAGAAATTAGGTCATCATTCATTTTCTATTTCCTAATTAAATGACACCAAAGATTCCTAGTCTTTCCAGCCATGCCAGAATCCCTTAGCATGAGGAGCAGGCTTTTCTTCCAGCCTCCAAGAAAATGGATTTTTGTTTGTTTATTTTCTGCTCACAAACACATTTAGAAACGCAGCATTCAACTCAGCCCCTAACAGATGGAACACGTGCCTCATCTGGTGTCAGGGGCTACAAAGTTGGCCTTTCCACCCAGAACAGGATTTCCCTGCCTTTCCTTCTGTCTAGCATTATGTGGAAGATTTCCAAAACCAGGAAGACCTCAGAGGTCATCTGGTCATTCAATTCCTTTGCAGGTGAAAAAAACCAAGGCCCAGACAAGAGTGAGGCATGCTGCCCAGGGTCAGGTGAGCATGAACCACGGCATGTCAGAGGTGTCCAATCTGCTTTCTCAAAGAAGACAAACACAGCCCTGGTGCAGGAAAGAATCAACTCAAGAGGTCAGGCTCTTGCCCTCCGTGACTGGGTGGTGATGTCTACGCCCCTGGAATGTCCCACCTAAGAGGGGTGTTTTTGCTTGCTTGGGGGCTTTGATCACAGGACAGTCTGACAATGTGATGTATGTTAGGGGCTTTGGGACATACCATCACAATTCTGACCTCGAACTGGAAACTAAAGGCATTTGCACAAGCCTTTCACAGCAGCTGGAAACACGGTGAGCCAGGCAGGTGGTGCGTGATCAAGTGTGTGATCAGAGTATTGTCACACCTCATACGGGTAGAAGGTAGCACTGCCAGTGACTCCACAGGGAGAGGACAACTGGAAGCTCCACCTCTGGACCCTCCCAGACCTCGCCCTTGGCTTCTCTTTTGTCTGGCTCTAACTTGTGTCCTTTTGTCAGAATAAAACTGTAATCCTAAGTGTGGGGCTTTTCTGAGTTTTGTGAGTTGTTCTAGTGAATTATTGAACCTGATGGGGCAGTGAGAACCCATGAATGGATGAGGGTGGCCTGGGGAGCTCTGAATACACAACTGATGTCTGCAGGGAGGGCAGTCGACTGGAGGCCTGTGCCCTTAACCTGAAGTTTGCCCCAACTCCAGGCAGCTCCTGAACGAAAGCACATCTCCTAAATTAAAGCACAGCCATTGCAACAGAAATCCTTGGGAGCAGGTCCTTGAAGTCTTTGCCACCTGAACAGCTGGAAACAAGGATCTGGAAGTGGGCACCCATCCTGCTTCAGTGCAGGTGGACCTTGCAGTGGGAGGTGAAGGGAGACACATGGGCTGCGGAAGACTGAGGCGGGTTCCAGACCGGCAAGCTCATGCAACAAGACCATCCCCATCCTGCTCATCTCAGTACATACCCAGAAGAGGGAAAATGTGAGGCAGGAGAAAGGGCAAAGGACTCCATTAGAAAACTCATCCTGGACCCTGATTCAATTCCTTTTAAGAAAACACCTCCTGCCTCTCTAGCAGCTGATGACCTCCGCTTAGTGTCAAACAGAAGCATCTTCTATTAAGCAATCAAATACATGACCCAGGTGCTCCTCCTCATACAATTTAACTTGCATCTGCATCTAATCAAGTCATTAGCTATAACCTTAAATTTGTAGAGAATCCAGTTGAAGGAGTAAGTATAGTGACACCAAAAAGAAGCAATTAGGGCTGGGAGCGGTGGCTCAAGCCTGTAATCCCAGCACTTTGGGAGGCCGAGGCGGGTGGATCACAAGGTTAAGAGATCAAGACCATCCTGGTCAACATGGTGAAACCCCGTCTCTACTAAAACTACAAAAAATTAGCTGGGCATGGTGGCGCGTGCCTGTAATCCCAGCTACTCAGGAGGCTGAGGCAGGAGAATTGCCTGAACCCGGAGGCGGAGGTTGCGGTGAGCCGAGATTGCGCCATTGCACTCTAGCCTGGGTAACAAGAGCGAAACTCCGTCTCAAAAAAAAAAAAAAGAAGCAATTAGACAAATGTAAATGATGTCTGTAGGAAAAGTAGTTTGGTCTCTTCAAAGTCAGTGTCATGAAAAAAATAGTAGTAACAGAGGAACTATGGTAGGATAAAAATAAATTTATGATTCATAACCAAATGCATTCAGCATTACTTGATTTGCATAAACCAGCAAAAAAGGACATTTGCCACAATTAAAGAAGGTTAATAGAAGTTTTTAGATGATGTTGAAAAAGTACTATTAATTATTTAGTTATGATAATGGACTTGGGATTAGTAAGAAAATATTTCAATTTTTCAGAGATGCATGTGGAAATATTTAGGGGTAAAATGTCATGAAGTCTATATTTATCTTTAAATACCTCAGATATATATTTACCTTGAAATGCTTCAGTGCTCACGTTTTGCAATATTGACTTTGGAATTATGTAAATGTTTTACATAATTATGAAAACAAAATTAAAAATGCTAAACAACTAAAAATGAAAATGAAATAAATGAACCCAACTGTAGGTCAGGTTGACACAGAAAAGGATTATTTTAAGTGACTTTTATGAAACCCAGTATTTTGACTGTAAATATTGGGCATTTGGACAAAAAAAAAAAAAAGAAATTTTAAAATAAATTCAGTATTGCTACTAATAATAGTGGTATTGTTATTTTAAAAGCATTAACAAACTTAGTCTATCTATCTAAAATGTATAAAATGCAATGCAAACAATTGCTAATGTAATCAGGAACTAAGATTTTTCAGCATAAGAGAAATAGGATACAAAAATTAAAATCAAAGAAAAACTGAAATCTTCTAAATTAACTGGAAACAATTTTTCCATTTCATTTTTCTCTTAAAAAACTCATATTCCCTAGCTTTGTCCTTTCAGAAAACTACAGGCACTAACAACAGCGCAGTGAGCATTCTTGGTGCCCAGTTTACCGGTCTTTTAACACCATTTCCCATTAAACTGAACCAAGGCCCAGAAGGGCACGGTGGTTTACACCTGTAATCCCAGCACTTTGGGAAGCTGAGGTGGGTGGATCGCTTGAGGTCAGGAATTCAAGACCAGCCCAGCCAACATGGGGAAACCCTGTCTTTATTAAAAATGCAAAAGAATCAGCCAGGCATGGTAGCACATGCCTGTAATCCCAGCCACTCAGAAGAATCACTTGAACCCAGGAGGTAGAGGTTGTGGTGAGCTGAGATCACACTACTACATTCCAGCCTGGGTGGCAGAGTGAGACTTGGTCTCAAAAAGAAAAAGAAAAGGAAACAGAAAAGAACCAAGGCCCCTGGAGAAAGAGTGGATTCTACATCTTGCATAGGACATACACAATATACAGGAAATACACAAGATGAGCTGCAAAGTCTTAAAGAAGGAAACTGAGCCTACTGGGGTCATGTCCAAAGGACATTAAGAGCTAAGATAAAAGAAAGTCACAGTTCAACAATAAGATCATTCTAGCCTTGAAAAGTATAACTGCAGTGTAGTTAAACAGGTACAATATTAAAAATCCACTAGTTTGGAATAATACTGAAAATGAATCACATTAGCTTGGGAGACTACTAGGGTGACAGTTGATTGTACTGAAAATAGGTGCGTAATGGCAATGAATCCAGTGTGTTTTTTTCTACATATCTTGAAGATAATCCTTGAGCAAGAATCCAGTGTTTTGTCTAATTTTCCCATATATTTTTATTTTAAGGTGACCAAATAAAAGAACTAATAAATGCAGAAAAATGACAGAATTAGATAAAAAATATTTTTCAACCACTAATTAGACAATGGCTCTGAAATGATTTATAACAGATGGGTTCACTGACAACCCGGACACACGAAGAAAGAGCAACAGGCAGGAAGTGCACGGCATCACTGATAAAGCTATTTTTGCCAAAAATGGAATCAGAGTCTGATCAAGCTTTTAGGTCTAACTATTAATTTACAAAAAGTGTAGGAACAGTGGAATACTAAAGCAACATCACTGGATACAATTAGGCAATGCCAGAGTGTAGCAAGACCTACAGGACAAAAACCTTTTTTTTTTTAATTGCATTTTAGGTTTTGGGGTACATTTGAAGAACATGCAAGATAGTTGCATAGGTACACACATGGCAGTGTGATTTGCTGCCTTCCTCCCCTTCACCTATATCTGGCATTTCTCCCCATGCTATCTCTCCCCAACTCCCCACCCTCCACTGGGGTCTGTTGGGGGGAAATAGGGGAAAACTTTTTTTTTTTTTAAACAAACCCAAGAAAACAAAAAGAGGAAGGGAAAATAGTTATAAGACCGAAGAGACGTTGCAACCAGGTGCAGTATGTGGACCTTGTTTGGTTACTAAATAAAAACTATGAGAAAGAATCTGTAAGAAAAGCATGGAATTGGAATACTGATAATATTGGATACTATAAAAGAATTCTTCATGTTTAAGGTGTGGTAAGAATGATTTCTTAGAGGCACATATTAATTACAGACAAATAAAGGGGATATTTAGATTTGCTTTTCTTTTTTTTAAGACAGGCTGTTTGTCCAGCCTGGCTAGAGTGCATTGGTTCAAGTATAGCTCACCGTAACCTCAAACTCCTGGGCTAATGCAATCCTCCTGCCTCAGCCTCCCTAGACTGACTATAGGTGTGTACCACCACACCCAGCTAATTAAAATTTTTTTTTATGGAGACGTGGCTTGCTATGTTGTCTAGGCTGGTCTCCAGTTCCTGGCCTCAAGTGACTCTTCTGTCCTATGGCTTCCCAAAGTGCCAGGATTATATGTAATCTTTTCTTGACCTTGGAAATGAATCCACTGCCATGCCCTGCCAGATTTGCTTTAAGTAATCAAGTGGGACAGAATGGGAGGACCAAATAAAACGGAATTGGCCATATATTGGTAACTGTGCAAAATAGATAATAGACATAGAGGGACACCTACTATTCTTTCTCACTTTGTGTATATTTGTAACTATCCATAATAAAAGGTTTTCAAAAATCTCTCAGGCAAATTAAAAAAGATGAACACAAATATGTATGAAAAATGTAAAATGTCAAATTCTAGCTGATGAGCATATGGATGCTTATACTTTCTAGTGTTTGAAAATATTCACAATAAAAATACAAAGGAAAAGAAAATATTTACAATAGTAAGCAGACATTTTTTTCCTTGAGATGGAGTCTTACTCTGTCCTCCAGGCTGGATTGCAGTCGTGTGATCTTGGCTCACTGCAGCTTCTGCCTCCTGGGTTCAACCAATTCTCATGGCTCAGCCTCTCAGTAGCTGGGACTACAGGCAGTACCACTATGCCTGGCTAATTTTTTATTTTTGGTAGAGATGGGGTTTCACCAAGTTGCCCAGGATGGTCTTGAAATCCTGACTTCAAGTGATCTGCCTGTCTCGGCTTCCCAAAGTGCGGGATTACAGATGTGAGCCTTATTTATTTATTTATTTATTTATTTTAAACAGGGTCTTGCTCTGTTACCCAGGCTGAAATGCAGTTGCATAACCTCAGCTCATTGCAGCCTTGATTTCCATGGCTCAAGTGATCCTCCCCACTCAGCCTCCCCTGTAGCTGGGACTACAGGCACATGACACCAGGTACCTGGCTAATTTTTGTTTTTTTTTGTAAAGATGGGATTTTGCCATGTTGCCCAGGCTGGTCTCGAACTCCGGGGCTTACAGAAATGAGCTGCCCCATATGGCGTTAGTAAGCAGAGTTTTATTATTTTTTTCAAGACAGAGTCTCACTCTGTCACCCAGGCTGGAGTGCAGTGGCACAATCTTGGCTCACTGCAACCTCCGTCTCCCAGGCTTAAGGGATTCTCCAGCCTCAGCCTCTCTAGTATCTGGGATTATAGGCGTGTGTCACCATGCTCAGCTAATTTTTGTAAGTAAGCAGAATTTTAAAAGCACTTAAGCCAGGGGTGTCCACTCTTTTGGCTTCCCTGGGCCACATCGGAAGAAGAAGAATTGTCCTGGGCCACACATGAAATGTACTAATACAAATCATAGCTGAAGAGCTTTAAAGAATTGCAAAGAAGTCTCATAATGTTTTAAGAAAGTTTACAAGGCCGGGCGCGGTGGCTCAAGCCTGTAATCCTAGCACTTTGGGAGGCCGAGGCGGGTGGATCACGAGGTCAAGAGATCGAGACCATCCTGGTCAAAATGGTGAAACCCCGTCTCTACTAAAACAAAAAAAATTAGCTGGGCATGGTGGAGCGTGCCTGTAATCCCAGCTACTCAGGAGGCTGAGGCAGGAGAATTGCCTGAACCCAGGAGGCGGAGGTTGCGGTGAGCCGAGATCGTGCCATTGCACTCCAGCCTGGGTAACAAGAGCAAAATTCTGTCTCAAAAAAAAAAAAAAAAAAGTTTACAAATTTGTGTTGGGCCACAATGCAAGCTGTCCTAGCCTGCAGGTTGAACAGGCTTGACTTAAACCCAGCCAGGATTCAGAGCCATGTCAGACTAGAGGGATTATGAAACATGTCTACAGGCTCCTCATGCTGGCAGTTACCAGTAATCTACCCCTGCATTCCATACAAATGACAGAGTTCATGAAAAATATTCAAATATGAATTACTAAATTATGAACGGAAAGAAAAAACAGGGACCTAGAGAAAAGGATTCCATCTGACTAAACAGCGAAAACCTATTTATTATACTTACTGCAACCCCACAGAAGCTCAAAAGTTTTCTGATCTGCAGCTCTATTGCACAGAGTTATAAATAAACCAAGATAAAGCAGCTAACCTGCTTGTTACTCAAACACATTAACCAGATTCTGACATCAGTAGCTGTCGCAAAACCACTGCTTATCGACCGAGATCCATGGTCACGGCATAGTCTCATATCCTTTTTGCCCACTGATAAGAATCTTTTTCATACCTGATGATGACGCACTGGTTCTCTCTGTCAATGATCATGTTTCTGTACATATTATCTGCAAGGGCGTAGATATGTGGTGGGTTTTCATACTGTGCCTAGAAAAGCAAAAAATAATAATAACACATAAATAAGAAGAAAATAAAAAAATAAAAACAAAATCATGGTCAGATAGGCAACACATTTCTTTCCCTGAATTTGGAAATGAATTCAAGCACGATAGTTCCACTTCCTATAATTACATCTTAAAGGTTGCATGATGCAAGAATTCATAAAATTTCCTAGGTCATCAAGAGTTACACCCTCACAAAATTAAGATGGAATTTACGAGTCTTCCGTAGGCACACGCATGATTCAGCCTTCCGGATGTGCCCTGCGTCTTCAGACACTCCAACACCCTACCCTTCCACCCATAAACACCTCTGCAGTTGACAGTCCATTTCTAAATGTTTCTGTAGACACTTGGGCAACAGGTCTTAGGAGAGGCCTGCCACACACCTAGATCTGACATCCACCAGAATTCCAAATTCCTATGTAATTTTTTCTAAGAGGCCACGTTGTAGATTCTGGAGCCTCAGAAGGAATTAGGTTAGATTATCTATGGATCAGGAAAAACACTTAAAACTTTCCATAAGAAGAGGGCAAGGAGGTGTGGTTCTTTAAAGGGATAAGCCAGTTTGTTTCATCTCTACTGGAAACAAAAAATTCCTAAAATCCTACCACACTAAGATATTCTCCTGGGTTTGTGATTTCATCTAATAGGATATCTTAGCTATGCACAAATATCAAACTAAATACATTTCCCATGCTTAATAAATTATCAGGCTGACTTCAGCCCTGCTTTATTCAATTTCTTGACATGCACCTTCATCACAACCTCAAAAATGACTAAAAAGAGAAATACTTTCTTGGGTATATATGGGGAAAGAACACTCCCAGCCTGTAATCACTCCAAGCTACTTGGTAGGCTGAGGCAGAAGAGTCATGTAAATCCTAGGACTTGGAGTCTAGTCTCTACAAAAAATTTTTTTAATTAGCTGGGTGTGGTAGCACTCGCCTGCAGTCCTAGCTACCTGGGAGCCTTAGGCCGAAGGATAGCTTGAATCCAGGAGTTGGAGGATGCAGTGAGCTACAACTGTGGGAATAATGGCGTCCAAGCTGCAAGTCTCACAATGTAAATGATGG